ATTGAACTGATTCGGCAAAAAACGTTCAAAAAAGGTATTGCCTCTGTGTAGGAGAAGCTGGTAGATATTTCCAGCACCTTCTCTGTCTGTTCATTATTATTATAATTGTTGTTGTTTCATTTATTAGTAGCTGTGAAAAGCTTTCTCAACATTTGCTAGCTACTATTGAACTATTTCTTTCTGTCTTATTGTCGTGTCGTCTAAAGTGTGTGTTTCAAAGTCTACATGAAAAAAACCTAAAAGTTCTGTATTTCAAAGATGACTCAAGTGACATCAAGTGTGCTAAAATATTGGAAAGGCAATTTTAAGCTCTACTGAAATATGTAGAAATATACAGAGTGTTTCATGAAAAAAAATACTTTTCCATTGATAACTATTGATATCTCATTTGGAAAAATGCATTTTTCACACTATTAAAATATACGTAAAAAGGTTCTTTGGAAATGTTTTCATAGAGAGAAGAAATGTGTGACAGGCAACTTTTCGAAAATGCACATTTTTTAAAAACATGACAGGTGTTTCTCTTTCAAAGCATCCAATTTAGCCTATTCTGTACTGGGTAATCAACAATGGTAAAATCATTGTCACATTATCCCTGTTGTTAATTGATCAAGAATAATCATAGTAAGTGTGTAATGAGATACATGACTTTTATTTTGGAGATGAGGCCAAACTTCGATACCCCCATTTGATAATAATGATAAACGATTTTGTTGGTAGAATCAAACTAAAATAACAACAACACAAGAGAAAATGAACGACCAAATGGCAGAGTTAGCACCTGTTTACACCCGAAGAGGAATGGAAGACTTAACTAACTGAACTAAATTATTATGTCAGCAAAACTCAGTGCCAAAGCTCCAGACTCCAACCAAAAATGTTGAGAAAAAACTTCATTCGGTTCGCCCACAGAAGGTGACAAAGTGCAAAATTTCTGGAACTACACATAGATAATTATCTAAACTGGAAATTCCTCCATGAAACCTCTATTTCTAAGCTGAGATTTGCAATTCAGAAATATATAAGGGATACATTTTACTCCTTCGGAATGTTCTGGAAATTTTCTCTGGAATATTGGGTAACGGATTTCTGCATTTTGTTCAGCGTTCAACCAGAATAATAATTGGGACTTTTTCAAGTCGAGAATTTTCAATTAGAGAAAAAGGAAAGTGAATTATGATGAAAAATGTGTCGACTAATAAAAAAAATTATTAAACCCAAAACTTGTTACCGAAAGTGCTCAAAAGCTCAATTCTGAAAACGCCGCAACTTGAATAAAGTTCTTCCTTCCTTGTTTCTTGACAATTAAAACAGTTTAAAATTTAAATTAATGTTGTTTATCATTTGGAAGTTCTTAATGGAGCAACTTCATAGATAATCGAATAACAGAGGGAGTTGGGAAGTTTCATTTTATAATCCACGAATGCTTTGGAGAGACCGTCTTGAGGTTATTCAATTTGGCTATTTGCGAGCGAGCAGAGCTACAAGGGCTCAGTTTTTATATGATTAGATAACGTTTATTGAATGAAAAAGTTTCCTTCTGAAAGGTATTTATTTCCCGGAGCCAGATGCTGTACCGATCAAAGAAAACGAACGGTGAATCGTTCCTTTGCGTTGAAATTGAATCAAGTAATCACTCGGGGAAAAACACTAGCGGTAGTTACTCTCACGGGATTGTCGTGAGAGAAGTTGAGGTAAAAAGCATGTGAAAATTGGGGAAATGAATAGCATTACTCAAAAATTACACTGATTGTTGCCCAAGTTTATCTATTTTCAGTGATAATGGAGAATCTGTAGTGTCCTTGAATAATTGGTGAAAGGCAGTTGAAGCTACACCTATCCACAAATCGGGAAATCAAAACTACGCATCTATTTCAATTATATGGACTCCTGTTGTTATTCTCATCACAATGGTGATGAATCTGGTTAATTTCTCCCTAACTCAGTATTGCCACGAGGTTTCTATGGCTGAAGTCTGAGCATCATTGAAAACTATCACTGCATGTGATTCAGTAGGCGACTCAACTGTCAGCATGGCGTTATAGTGCAGTAGAAATGAACAAATTTTGGAATCAAATCAAATATATATTCACTGAATGGATACCTTGTAATATCCTATGGTTGTAAGAGGTTGATGCAATCCAGATAGTTTCTAATATTCCAGTTGGAGTTAACATGTATGATTCTCTATCAAATATGTAATCTTTCTTGAGAATGGATCATCATCATATACTTCATTTTCATTGAAAGGGTTATATATATTTTTTTTATTGTAAGGGGTCTTCCAAATTTTGACAATTGATAAAACGGCCATCTTGTTGGAGTTACATCTGTCAAATTAGTTGTCATTCATTCAGTCTGTATTGCCAAATCACCATGGACGGATACAGCAATCAACGACACCTACAAAGGATGAAATTGTTTCATTATAATGGGTGTTTGTTTGAAGGTGATTGAGAATGTTTCATGATGAATTTCACTAGTTCGGACTTCCATTGTCTGATATATAAAATGATTTGAAATCCCTGAAACAACTAAAAAAGGAGAATGGAAAATGAATAGCTGAAAATAACAATTATATTAAGCAAAAATAACCTGAAATGAATGAATAGTGAAATAAAATACAAGTAACAATAAAACGATTGAACAAAAAATAAAAATTAAAGTATAAAAATTATAAAGAAATAAAATGAAAATCAAAATAAAAAGTCAAGAGATTCCAAGCCACGTTAGTTCACGACGTTTCGATTGTAAGTATCTACAATCGTCTTCGGTTGATGACTGGACTGATTCCTCCAAGAGATTACTATTTATGGGTTGTTCGAGTACTTTCACTTATCCTCGCTTTCCATTTTTTCCGCTTCACTGGTTCAGTGGGAGATGACCGTTTGACGGGAGTAGGCCATTTTTCGCTTGATGATAGGTTTCCATAAGTTGCGTATCTCTACGCTAGCTTGGCTGAATACGTTGTTTGACAACATGTATGCGGCTTCCTTGAACTTTCTCCTAAACCAATGTTCCTCTCTGTGTATGATCTCAGCCTGGGACCACTCGATATTATGTTGATGGGTCCAAACATTCCTGTGTGTGTTTCTTCTGCTCGGCAATGCGAACATTCAATGGCCTCTTAGTTTCAACAATATAGGATTTTACGCACTCACAGGCTATCCGGTAAATGCATTTCTTGGAATCGCAGTCCGCGTTTGGTGGCCTGGTTTTCGTGAGGCTGCTACGGATAGTGTTACCGGATCTGATGTTGTACTTGGAACCAATTCTTCTTATCCTCTCCGATAATCCTCTGATGTAGGGAAGTGCAAGCACTGGTTGTGACGGCTTCTCTTCCTTGCGAGGCTTTTAGCCTCTACCATCGCTTTGGAGTAGCCATTCCGTTGAAAATCATTTTTGATGATGTCTAGTTCCTTCTCGAGACCTTACTTTGTATTACAGAGCCCGAAAGCACGGTCTAATAGAGTCTTGATGATTCCTCTTTTAGTCGATTGATGATGGTTGGATTCGTGGTTCAGATACTGTCCCTTGTGAGTGGGTTTTCGGTATACATATGTTTTCCACTTAGTGTTCTGGGTGTTCTGTCCAGCCAACGTACCGCGCGCTTCGCCCATTTTAAGGTCGCCATAATCGTGTTACCGAAACTTTTCGCAATGTGCTGAATGAATTTGAATCCTCTGGTTGAGTAAACGATCGACCAAAATCTGTATGTTGACTTAACGGCCAATATTGCGTCGTGACTTGTCCCTGCACCCTCACGAAATTCAACTGTCCCAGAAACTGTAGGTGAACGATCATAGACAACGATGTGTGTTCGCTGATGGGATGTGGAGCAATTGGCAACTGACCCTAATTTTTATAGAAACATCATCTACAGCGATGAGGCCCATTTCTGGATGGATGGGTAGGTGAAGAAACAAAATTGTCGAATTTCGGACGACACTAATCCACATGGGATCCAAGAGCGTCCAATGCATTCCGAAAAAGGAACTGTTTGGTGTGGATTTTTGGCTGGCGACGTCATGGGTCCATATTTTTCAGAAAACGATGTTGGCCAGAACATCACTGTCAACGACGAGCACTATAGCTCGATGATTACCAACGTCTTTTGGCCTGAATTAAATGATCTGGACACCAACGACATGTGGTTTCACCTCCTGTGGAGGTGATGTAAACTAGCCACCAAGACCGTGCGATTTGACTCCCTTGGACTTTTTCTTGTGTGATTTTCTTTAATTCGCAGGTATTTGCGAATAAGCCACAAGCCTCAGCGGTCTTCAAAGCAAACATAACATATGCCACCGGTCAAATTCAGCCTGATTTATGCGCCAGAGTTATGGAAAATTGGACGTTTCAGATGCTCTCTTCCCAGAAAACTGTGGCGAACATTTGAACTATGTTATATTCCACACTTATTTTTTCAAACGAATACAAAATTTCGTTTTATTTGAATTTGAAGCTAGAAAGCGCCCAATGATAGACCTTATATTTATTAATGACCTGTTGAACTCTTCAAAATGTTTCCTTATTGGGGTATCCAAAGTACGGAGAGTCAGAGATTCTGAGTCATTGCAGAAAGATCTGAGCAGAGCTGTATACAGGATGTCTCATAAGTCATAGTCCCAAGTAAAGGATGTCTTTGCTGCCCAAAAGGGTAACATGGGTTCGATTCCCCAGCGTTTTCGAGTAATTGCAGGTGAGCAAATTGATGTTCCATTGATTATACCAGCCTATTAATTGAAACCAAACTGGTGTAGGCAGAAAGCTACGGTTCCTTACAAACCATTGGTTTTCCACTGCTCAATATTGTCAAGTATGTATGTTCACTATTTCTGGGCGCCAGCAAGAATTGAACCGACTAGAAACTGAACGGTATATATTTCGTAAAATTGTTGTTGTTTCCTGAAAATTAACAGATGTTTTTCATATTCCATTGTTAGTTAAATTAAAAATAATATCATAGTAGACACTGATGCAATATTTTCCAATTTCAGATGATCGTTCGCGTTTTTGGAGATGGAGCATCTACTGACGTTCCGGTCACTCCGGAAACAACAACATCTGATGTTATCGAGTGCTGCCGAGATCCAGGAGAAGAAACTTGTGACCTGTTTGCAGTTTGTCCTGATCACGGAGGTGAGTCTTCACAAAAGTTATAGATGCACCTACGAAATGTTTTTCCGTGTTAACCGAAAATGGTCATCGAAAATTTTCGAAATATTAAGAGTCTTCGTGAAAGTCACCAATATTTGATTTTTGTCACTGGAAAGATTGCTTTGGTCAGGCCCGGAGCTTTGACACTATGGGGGGGGTGACGCATCAATTACTACGCCCCTTTCCGTGAGATAAGCAATCTTTGACTTCAAGATGTGTTCTGAGAATATCCATATCAATAGAGTGGTCTGGGCAGAGTCAGCAGATATCGAAGAGGAAATCTCGATAACTGTATCAATCTTAATAACTTGTATCAGCGTAAGGGTAGGAAATTGATGATGGTAGGAAATGGATAATCCCAATAAATTTGGCATTTCCCATTCCTCCCATGAAATCAGTATTTCCCTGTGTCCCGTCAACACCGTATTAGTGCCGAAGGTGTTGATTGAGGGTCCACGTTTTGATGAAGAACATAGACTGAGACTGCACATACGGAACATGGCTTTGTTGCAAATGTAATGGAGTTTCAGGCGCCTCGCGAAAGTCCGGAACCTGGCGTCCGGGTGAGGATTAAGTGGTAGCTGAATTTTATATTTCATGATTGGCATCAATGAATATGTATCAATTCTTTCAACTCTATTCTCCATTATTATATGGCAAAACAAATAATTTTGTGGTTCGATTTATTACACAACACAACAAAAAAATATTTTTTGAATGTTTCCTACACTAAAATAGTCAATTTCTACTAATTTTGGGGTGATAAAACGAAAATAACAATGAAAAATTTTTATTAGCTCTGGTTTTTGAGATACACAGTACTTAATCTTAAAGAGTAGTTATACTATACGTGAAAAGTGAAAGTACATAAAACAATATTGTTATATTTCTTTTAGAATATTTTAAGTACAAAATTAATAAAAAAAAACATTATTCTTAGTGTTTTGACAAATAAAAGAAGTTTGTACCACCAAATTTCAATTAAGGAAGCAAATCTTTTTGACGCTGTCTGTACTGAGATATTTTCACATCATGTTTTAGAAGATTCCACTGTTGTCGTCTTGACCCTAACAGCTCAGCCTTTTCCTTAGACAAGCGAAGATCTCTTATAAGGTCACTCAACTCTGCTTGACTAATTCTGTGGGGATCACTAGACCTATCGCTTACCTCAAAATCAGGGTCATAGGATGTAGAAGGATGGGTTGCTCCTTCTAAACAGTCTTCATCACCTTCCTCTAAAATTTCATAGTTTTAGGGTGGAGAAGGGACTGGCAAATTGTCTGAGTGTGGTACAGGCCGAAGAGCAGATGGGAGATTAGGGTATTTAACCGTTCCTCTTTTCTTCATAGATAAACCTTGCTTAATGGGAGGAGTTAAGCAGAAATAACAGTCGTCTGTATGATTGGTAGGCTCACGCCAAACCATAGGTACTTCAAAAGCCATTGCCCGGTTTTGATTTTTCAGCCACTCTCGCAATATGACGGAACAAGAATTACAATATATATGACAAACAAAAACTTTGTTGTGTTGTGTTATTTTATTAAAAGTTTATTATTTCGATTGAAGCTTTAATCAATGAAATGGTTCAAATATGTCGGATATCTGAAATATTTTGACCAGTGTTATTGACAGTTATAACAAGAATCATGATTGCCAACATGACCTTATTTTTTTTATTATTATTCTGGCATCGACTGCTGAGGTCATTAGCCATTTTGTAGTATATCTGTTTATATTTTGTTAAAAAGTTATGTTGCTTTCAGAAAGTTCAAAACATTTCTTATAGCTTTGGTACCGAGGCAAGTTTTGATATTATCCGGTAAGTTATATCGTTGTCGATCGGCTTCATACTGGCATTTTAAGAGGTGTATAACCGTCATCAATGTTTGGCAATTTTCGCAGGATGGTTGTCTTTGTCTTCTCAGTATATAAGAGGATGTTAAGTTCGTATGTCTTATCCTAAGTCGTGTTATTATGACTTGTTCTCTTCTCGTTAGCCCTTGTGGAAGTCTCATGGCTGCAATATCAGGTTTGATATCTTTCAATTTTGAATCGTTGTTTGTCCATTCGTGTTGCCATGTGTTGAGTATTGAGTTTTTCATGAATTCTTTTGTGTCATTTGGACTCACAGGTATATTCAGATCTTATTCCCTTAAATAGGGTTGTACAGGTTTCTGTCATTGTATTAATATTTTTAAAGTTTTTTGTTTGTCTTATTGAGTATCCCAACATACGATTTGAAGAACTAATTATTCCATGAATATGATTTGCAAACGACAAAACATAATTATGATTTGTTACACCTAGATTCTTGACTTCTTAGCAGCGCTCAAGAGTTTTTTCATCTATTATACATTCAAATTGGATAGGATATTTCATTTGTGATATAAATATCGTGGTACATTTCTTTATATGGAAAAATAACTTTACCTATGAAAATTATGTACATATTTTTGTAACTTGACGCAGTCGCCAACATTTTTTATTTCTTTGAAAATCTTCAAGTCATCTGCAAACAGCGAGCAATCTGAGTAAGGAAGTACAGAAGACAAATCATTGACAAACATAATGAAAAGGTGGGGTCCAAAACTGGAGCCCTGAGGTACTCCCGAGATGGCACATTTTGTTCATTCTATGATGATAGAAATCTGTGATATGTGGGTCCACTTACCATTATGTAGTTACTTCAATAAATACGCGATAACAATGTTATTTACCAATGTGTTAACCGTTTTTAGTTGAAGTCCACATTCTCATAAGATGAACAGGATGTCCCCCCTTTTTATTTTTTTGTACGGGTCAACCCAAAAAATTGAAATTTAGGATGATGAAATAAATGCATGAATACTTTATTTTGAAGTAAAATTGACATATGAAACCTTCAAGATGGCTACTGGGCGCCATTTAGAAAAAAAATTGAATGGAAAGGGGGGTCTTATGATACATCATTTTGAAGCTCCAAGATGGCGACTGGGCGCCATCTGAGAAAAAAATTAAATGGAAAGGGGGGTCTTGTGATACATCATTTTGAAGCTCCTGACAAATGCTTCACAACCCTAGAATATTTTTTTTATAAAAAGACAAAAAATATCAGTACGACTATGAACATCATTTTTCAGTTAGAATATTCTCATTTAGTTTTCGGTTTTACTAGTAGAAAGGTACCACGTCAACAATCTCAAAAATGGACAATTCTCGTTCATTGGAAGAAAAAATTGAAGCGATTTTTATTTACGGTGCGATGCGTAAGGATTTTCAATGAACGTTTTCCGAATCGTCCTATCTGTAGATATGTAGATGGAACTTGTATCCAAATTCACAACTACCAGTAGTGTATTTATAACAAAAAGCCCATAGGTCATCCGTCCATTCCGGAAGAAAAGCAAGTGCAAATTATTGGTGAGATGGTAGTAAATCTTGAACAGTCTATTTATTTCATCGCGAATGTATGTGAGGTATCTCCTTCTACTGTGTGGAGACTTTTGAAGAGGAATAGGTATCATCCATACAAAATTAAAAAGGTACATCAATTAACTGAAGGTGACCCTGATCGAAGAACAGAATTCTGCGGAATCATGATGGACACCATTGCAAGGCAGCCTACCTATCTCCACAATATTTGTTTCAGTGACGAATGTACATTTTTTTTAAACGGCAATGTTCACAGACAAAATTGCCGTTATTGGAGTGACACCAACCCTCACGTTTTCCGAGAAAAACTTACCCAATATCCAGAAAAAATTAACGTTTGGGCAGGAATATTGGAAACTATATTGTAGGACCTTTATTTATAGATCAAAATTTAACAGGGGAACTGTATTTGAATATGTTGGAAACTACTGTTGACCCTCTCGTCACTGAATTTGTAGAAGCGAATCCTGATGAATTCGATGTGGATATTGTATTCCAACAAGATGGAGCACCACCAAATTACTCCAGAACAGTAAGAAACTATTTGGATACTGCCTTTCTCGGTCGTTAGATTGGCCGTCGAGGTACTACAGAATGGCCAGCCCGCTCGCCAGATCGGCCTTTTTTATATGGCTTATTGGACTATTTGAAGCAAAAGGTGTAGAAAACTGAACCTGCTTCAATATTGGATATACGGCAGAGAATAATAAATATTTTTAGAGATATTGACGATACTGTGTTCGAAAATGTTCGGCGTGAAATATCGGATAGGCTGTTCATATGTCAAGAAGTTCAATGCAACTATTTCGAGCATCTTCTGAACTGACCTCAAGCTTACCTCAAGCTTACATATTATGTAGGCAATTATCAAAAGTTCAGCCATTTTGTAGTAGTTGAAAATATTAATATTATACTCTAGGGTTGTGAAGCATTTGTCGGGAGCTTCAAAAAGATGTGCCACAAGACTCCCCTTTCTATTTAATTTTTTTCCCAGATGGCACCCAGTCGCCATCTTGAAAGTTTCATCATTCAATTCCACTTCAAAATAAAGTATTCATGCATTCATTTCATTATCCCAAATTTCAATTTTTGGGGTCAACCCGTTCAAAAAATAAAAGGGAGAGGACATTAAAGAAAAGCACTGTATGTTCAATCTCAGTGTTGCTAATCATGAAACATCTGAAACATGTACAACCTGTTTTACTTGGATATGGTTACTTCTACCTATTAACCCTTGTTAATTATCATAGAAAATAATTCAATACAAACCCTTACCTTCTTTTTGCATTAGAGCGCAGACAAATTAATGATTAACCGTGATATCCACTACGTGTCCCAAGAGCCAAGAATTATCAATCAAAAAAGTTTCCGTCAAGATCTCTTCCCATAAAGTTTTCGAAGAAGTTATCCAGAGTTAGAAAAGCATTCTTGTCTGATTAATGTTATTTGACTCGTAACAGAAGTAGGAATTATATCTTTCACATGGAGTTCCAGAGTTAGTTTTTGTGAAACATATATCAATTAGGAGTCAGAGAAATCGCTAAGGAGCGATTTTTGTCTCAGAAAAAAAG